ATTGGGGGCGCTGGTGGCCCGGTGGGTCGGGCAGAGCTGGGGAGTCCCGGTGGCCCCAGTGGCTCGGGGGTCCCGGTGGCCCTGTGGGTCACGGGGGTCCCCGCAGGTGCTGTACGTCAGCACCCTCTTCCCCTACCTCGTCCTCTTCTGCCTCCTGGTCCGGGGCCTGTTGCTCGAGGGGGCCCTCGAGGGCATCCGCATCATGTTCACCCCCAAGGTGAGGCCCTGCCCTGGGGACCCCCAGACACCCTGGGTCGGCCCCGTTTGCCCCAAGCCTGCCGCGGCCCTGTCTGTCCCCGCAGGTGTCGGCGTGGGGCACGGGCCAGGCCTGGCGGCAGGCAGCCACACAGGTCTTCTTCGCACTGGGGCTGGGCTTCGGCAGCGTCATTGCCTATGCCAGCTACGGTGCACGCCGCAGCAACTGCCACCGCGATGCTGTGCTGGTGGCCGGCCTCAACGCCCTCACCTCCCTCCTGGCGACCTTCGTTGTCTTTGCTGTCCTGGGTGCCCGTGCCACCCGCCGCACGCGGCACTGCCTCCACAGGTGGGGGGTGCGCCGCGGTTGCGGTCATTGCACGGAGGTGGGGTCCCGCGCCTGGGTGTCGCACCCAGCGCAGAACCCCCTGCATCCCTGCGGCAATGCCGGTGCCCCCCTCGTCTTATTCCCCCCAGGAACGTGGAGCTGGTGTCACAAGCGCTGGTGGCGGGGGGGCTGCCCGAGACCGCTCGGCCCCCCGGGAACCTCACGGCCCTGCTGGCCTCCCAGTACAGTGCCTGGCTGCAGGGGCTGCCCCCGGCCCTGCGGGACGCCCTGGGTGTCACCGACTGCCGCCTGGACGAGGAGATGAACAAGGTGATGCTGGTGACAAGCTGTCAACCTGTCCTACATCCCCCCCCCCAGCTGGTGGCACAGCTGGGACCAGGGGGTTCCCCCGAGCTGGGGAGGGGTCCACCGAGTTCGTCCCACCCCACACCCTGGGCGATGCCCCCCTGACCAATTGAGGGGTCCCCTCGTACCACCCCCTATCCTGAAAACAGGGTGAGGGTCCTGACCCCCACCATCCTCTCCTCAGGGGGTGGAGGGCCCGGGTCTGGCCTTCATCATCTTCACGGAGACACTGACGCTGCTGCCGGTGGCACCGCTCTGGTCATCCCTCTTCTTCCTCACACTGCTGGGACTGGGGCTGAGCACCATGTTGGGCATTATCCAGGCCGTCCTCACACCTCTGCTTGACGCCTTCCCTGCCCTGTGCCGCCGCCGTGCTCCACTCACTGGTATGGCTGGGGGGGGACAACGGGCTGGAGGGGGGGCAGGGGTGGAGGGGA